CCCCCGCCTCCAAAAGACAGACGGACTGCCGTTTTGGATCACACTTGAACCAAAATGGCAGCCCATTACAAGCTCAGGATGATTCATGTGCGCCCTAGCCTGCCAAACTCAACACATGCATAACAAGCATCAGTGCCTTCCCCATGAACTTTGAGCCACCAAGAACCAGCACGGCCAGCTTGTCTTGCTCCTGGTGGAGAGCCTCGCACCACCACCGGCAAACATCATAAATGCACGATTAGCCCCTGGAAGCCCGACCTCGAAATTCTGGAATCTGGAGCTGTCCGGCTCATCATTGCATGTCATTGCTATAAAGTCCTACTGTACAGGAGATATAAGGGTGGGACTCAGTGCGAAAAATCCTGATACCATGTGCTTAGAGACCCGGGCTCCATGACTTGTTGTCCAAAAAACCTTCTAAGCGCTGAATTTGCCAGGTTTGCCTTCACCTCGTGAACAAAGCCGCTTCGGCGACTGCATTTGCCCAGTCCAGGGTCTTTGGCCCCCGACCCAACCCCCAAAGAGGGACGGCCAACTCCATCCGAGAACCCGGATTCGGGTTTGGAGATTAAAAAGAGTAACAACACAGCAGGATGACTTCAGGTTCAGCAGCACTGCACCTACTATGGTCCGCTGAAGCCAGCACAGCATCCGGGCACAGAATGCAACGGCATCCAGGCACAGATGCCAGTCTGAGCTGCTGGAGACTTCAATTGCTGACACAGCGTGTTCGGGAATCATTTGGCCTGCATCCACAACAATGATCGCCAGGGGGCCGGAAAGCTGTCCAAGCGGTCACCGATGTCCAAGACCTCGTCATATCGGTTTGGGCAAGGAAGGCTGATAGCAAGCAGCTGAACTGCATCTTGGGGGTTTGCGGCAGCAGCCACCGGCGTCCTCTCTTGCCAACTGGCCGCCAAGGTGTACGAGAACCATAGCCTGGCCAGGCCGGAATAGAGGCAGGTGACGCGTGAACGAATCTGCAGAACATGCTAAGGGCCAAGCGTGACTTCAGCTTCTTTAGCAAAAGACTCGCTTGGACCTTGGACTATCAAGCGACAGTGAAGTAAAATTGCACGTGAACTGTCCACGTTGAGACCAACAGGAGTCGGAATGTAAGAATGATGTGGCAATGGCAGCAACCAGAAGGCGCAGAAGAATCCTCGCCTGAGCATGGCAGATCGGCAGTCTGGGGTGACCACCTTGTGTCGCCAGTCGCTGCGTTATGCTCTTGAGCCTCAGTGGTTGCATCAGTTCAGAGCGGTAGTGCCGACATTCCGCCAACAAGGATGCAACGGTGCCCAAGTGGCTTCGGCCCAAACTGCAGACTCTCCTGCGCACTCGAGAGCTGTTTGCAGAAAGCCGACTTCTAGCTCCCCAGCCCCGTCTGCCTGCTAACCGTGAAGCGATACCGTAGTCCCGTATACTGCACTGCTTCTATGCACCACCATGCAGATCGCAGCGAGGACCAAGCTGAGGCGACCATGTTACAATTATCCCAGTTTTGCCGAGGCGTCCACCCATCAGGGCTGCCCAGGCTGAAATCCTGAACTGACCCCACATTACGACATTCCTAGATCAAGAGCCTGGCTGGGCAATGGACGCTCTCAGGGGATCTGGCAGATTCGACCGATTGCTGTTGGCACTGTGTCAGTCAGGGCTCGTCGTCTCGGCGGCCGCGCGAACTTGCACCACCGCCTGCGAGTGGTGCGGCTTCAGGCTTCAAGCAATCGCGACTCTACTCCGCAGGTTGACCCTGAGAAACACAACCTACGGTAGCATGGGCGAACACTCCTTTTGTCATGACTGAAACAAATGCTATGCAAGTCGCAGGGGAGGGGTCACATGACTCCTCTCACAAATGCTCATGGAACCCGTCCGTGATTGGGCACATATAAAATTGTGTTGTGACATGCCGCCTACCCACCACTCCAGGACGGGCGGCCGCAATCGGATCACTGTGACGGGCAAGCGTGAGTGCAGGTTGGGGGCGCCCGGTAGCGCCGGGTATGCGCGAGTAGCGTAATTGAGCGTCCTCGGAGTGCAGTCGCCCATCGCGGCCGCAATGGGATCTTTTTGGTTGGAAGAAACTTGGCGGAAGCTCAACTGCAAATGTCCTGAGGCAAAGCCTGACACTGAAGAGACACATGAATATCATGAAATATCATGATGACGGTGAGAACGCTGACCTGGGTTGTGCTGCTCGGGGGGGTGCGACGGCCATATCACCCTTTCCACACCCATCGCCAACGTACCAATGTTCCTTGACTCGCATGACTCGCCTCCAGCTTTGGGTGCTCGCAAGTTGAAGGGCACTGCAGCGTCCTGCTTCAGCGCGTCTTTTTGGACAGGCGAAAAATAAGAAACAGGCTTTGTCCTCAGCAACTCCGGCACAAGGCGGGCAAAGAGCTCCGGAAAGAGAGGGCAGCTCAAGACCTCGGAGAGCTGGCCGGAGTCGCAGCGCCTTTTAGTGCTTGAAGCATCTTGAAATATCTTGAAGAGTTCAACTGCCCCTATGTGCCAGGCTTGCTGGCGTGGCACCTGCGCGAGGGACCGGAACAACACACGACTTTGCTAATTTGCTCGCATTTCTGGCAAGCGACCCACCACTCGGAGTGTCTGCCCGCTCCCAGCTCTGCCTCGTCCTTCCGCGCGACTCCAAGCACAACTTAACAACGATGGGCACAGTTCGATGGACGCTTCTGCTGCGCGAGAGACATGGAGATGCGAAACCCGTCATCGGCGACCATTCGGTTTTCAGAGCAGTGTGCAGTTGTGTCTCTCCCGCATGTCCTGCAGACGTACATTTCCGGCACGGTGTGCTGCATTATGCTGCATTGCGAAGGCACCTTCCTCTTGTGGTTTCCCTTAAAGGTCCTCGAGCTCTGACGGGTGAAACATGAGAAACACTACAATTCGCCTCGACCCTTCCGGAAACCTCTTTCCTCCTCTTAATCCCGTCCCACACAACCCCCCTCCCGTCTGTAAAATTGCCCTTCCAATCCAAGCCCCCAGAGCGCCCGCTCACCCCCTCCAGCTCGGAGATTCCAAAACCAGTAAGATGTCAGGGTGAGGGTGCTGAACGAGCCTGCTCACGATCTTGCTCGAAAGCCTTCAGTCCGCAGCTTGCGTCCGGAGACAGGAAGCCATGACTTTGTCCGAAAACGCTCTGAGCAGGTGCAAGTCCTCCCACTCGACGGTTCCGCAAATCGCAGTTCCAGCGAGGGTCTGCCAAACGGCCAGAGCCTCGGATCAGTCCGCTTGCCCTCGCTAATAGTGCGTTGCCGGTGGCAAGCGCACAGCAGGCCAGGATTAGGTTAGCGTACTCTTGTTCTGTCACCAACGGACAAAACAGTCGTGCATTCTTGAGCCATGCGCCTGTGCCAATGCAGCATCAAGCGTTAAGTGAAAACGTGTATGCACCTTAGGCTTTAGCACAAGTCCTGCTGTCGTGATCAGACAAGCAGCCGCCAAATCACTTGATTCTTGCTGCGAATGTTGCGGTGTTCGGTTCGTGTGTTTCAGAGCGTCGTTCTGAAAGAGGCTAGAATGCAAAAGTAAAACAGTGTGTAAGACTAAGACACCTCTGCCGCTTACAACTTGGTGAGGCTGCGGTCCAAAGACTTCGCAGAGCTGTTGTGCCTGCAAGCAAACTGGAAGCACCCCACCTCTCTGCTTCTCTGGAACCGTCCCCACCTCGCAGTGCCCAGCCTACAAAGACGACCTGAAACCCGAGCTCTGCCGCGCTCCCTCGTCCAGGGACTCAAGTGAAACACCAGCCCACGAGCGCAGCAAATGGCTGGACCCTGCGAGGGCTGACCGCCGGATCTCCGCCCAAGACTGGGGAAAGAGTCGAAGCAGAAGCAAGCAGCAGCAGCAGCAGCACTGGTATTTGAGCACCACCAACTGCTCATGCTATAAGAAGCAGGGGATATAGCCCGTTCCCTTACAGCCCCTCTCCCACCAACCTTCTCGTATAAACCTTCCGACGTGGCAACAGCACACAGCGCACGAACGCATGTGCCACCAAAGCAAGAGGGTGCACATGCCTGCCAAAAAATGATGCGTTATGATGTGTTTCACCACGACATGTGCCCAAGTTGTCGGCGGCTTCAGCGTCACTGGCAGCTTCGTCATCTGCGCCGGCATTTCGCAGAAGCCTCGACCGCCCAACTGCTATAGATGCTCGTTTTCCCTCACGTAAAACCAAGCCGGACGGACGAGGACAAGAGGCACGAGGAATGCATTCATTGCTGGCTGGCATTTGTCATGATTAAGTTCGCTGCAGAAGTGCCGCATCCGCCGCAGACAGCACGTCCAGCATGCCCACCACCTGGACTCGACGCCACGGGATGCACAAGCTAGCGAAAATGTGAAGAACTGTTGATCAGACCCCTATCAGGCTCTCTCCTCGGCTGAGTCAGGTCCGCCTCCGGATCGTTCAGACATGCCCTTGGCCACCGGTCAGCAGCCAAGTCAGCCTCAAGAGCTTGCAGCAACTTGCAAATGCCGAAACAGTTTGAAGTCATCCGCCACCTCGGGACCCGACCAGCAGGGGGAGGAGTTGAGGGCAGGCCGGATTCATCTTTGCTGTTGGCAAAAGCCTGCACGCACGGACATGCGCAGGGTTTCTCACATGGTTTGATCATGGGCCTGTCCAGGATCGGCCGCAGAATCGGCTTCAGTTCTGCATCGCATCGTACCCACCTCCGTGAGGCACACCTCCATGATCCTCCCTGCACCTACACACGGCTCGGGCGGGCCTTGCCAGCTGCTGCGCGATCTCGCAACCTCTGTCCGGCATTGCCTCGACAAGATACATGGCTTGTGCGCTGTTAGTATGCCACTACCAGGGTTCAGTCATCGGGACGGAACGGCCGTATGATGCTGTGTGGCACATCTAGTTTCTCACAGGCCTCTACCCAGGTGAGCAAGCTCGCCTGACGGTCGGAATGGCTTCCGATGGCTTCTGCATGTCCGCTGAAAAACAATTCTGAGGATGGCTGAGGATGCAACCAAATGCTCAGACAATGCTCGCAGCGGCCTTGCCTCATCCATGTCCAGCCTGGACCCCAAGATGGCTGAAACGTATCATCGCACCGTCGGGACGTACTATGCCAGCCGCACCATTCGAAAGACAAACGTGCTGCTTTCAACCAACCAGGAAGTACCTCCAGGAGCTGTGCTGATATACTCGATATGGTTCTGCCATGCTCTGCATCTACTCAGCCAGGCTTTGCAGCTCGTCAATGCAATCGGTCCAGTACGCGCCTCTAACATATTCGGGTCGTTCATGCAGCTGCGGAAGATGACGCTGAAGACCTAAATGCTGTTGGCCTACAGACCAATGCTTCCAAGACGAGGGACAGCGAACTTGAAACCGGGACGTCTGCAGCATCGCAGGCCTCATAAGCGAATCCCAACCGTGTTGGAAATAAAAAGTCTCTCCGTCGTTGCTCATCATGCGCTCCGTCGACTTTCATGCTGCACCCTTTCTGCTTGTTCTCTGGCTCCAACTGTTGTGATGCGGAATTCTCTGTCTCCAGACTCGTAGTTGGCAGCATATCTGCTTGATTTCCGGTTCTAAATGCTGTGGTGTTTGCTCGTACCGCGACATGTGCAGTTGTTCTGAACAGGGCCGTCCTTACCAAGAAACGACGGTTCCACTCAAGGTTAACAAACAAGAACCACCGGACCACACTTTCAGCTGACCAGCCGCAAAGCGAAACTCTGCCTTCACGAGCACGTACATCTCGCTAGGTGTCGAGATGGCTGCCAAATCAGGGGCCAGGCCTCTACAAGCGTGCCTGCTGCCAGCTGCCAGAGTTGCACGTCCCCCAATGGCAGGGCCTGGAACTGACCAAAGAACGTCGACTTCGATGACTCACGGATGGCCGAGTGCTGGGCGGACCATCAGCTGTTCGGCAAATGCTTATGGTGCGTCAAAGCATTCAGCAAGAGGTCTTTTTGTCCACAGCTCTGGATGCTACCAGCAAACCTTCAGCTCGAAAAAGCTGCAGCCCTGCACGCCGGCGTATGCCTGAGTCTTTTAAACTGAGTGGGCGACCCGTCAAGCTTAAGGCTTAATCCGGCCGCAATGGCCCAGAGGCATTTGCCACACAACGCCTCTGCAAGAAGAGAATCGCACTCCCGCATTGCCGAGGAGCAGTGTGGTAGACCTGTCGCACAGCAAGCAGCAATGGTGAAGAGACGAGCTCAGTGTTCTCCCTGAGCCAGGGAGACCCGACCTGGCCTTGCAAATGTCGGTCTTGAAGCCCCTGGATTCCAAGCAGTTCCGGATCCAACTAGGCCCATCCGGTTCCAACATCCATGGTCTCCAGAACCTGGCAAGGTGGAGCATGGCCACAGGCTGACTCGATCCGCGGGTGGCTGTCGTTATGCTCGCATCCCCCCATGCACCGAGAGGCGATATCAGCTTGATGTTCTGGTTGAGGTAATATGATGTCAAGCCCTTGTCGGCAGCCTTTTGGAACTCGTGGAACAAGCCCTGGCTGATGTCCTGCCAGCAGACCGTGCAACGCTGAATTTAGAGCAGAAGGTACCGGCCAGTCCAGAAGATTTTGCATGTTCAATTTCGCTGATAACGAATTGGACCATTGTGTTTGGCGATTCGCTGACATTCTGCTGGTCAGATCTTCGCGAAGGCAAAGTATTTTTCGAAGATGCCAACCAGCATCATGTGTGACACGAAAGCAAGTGATTGCGGCAGTGAAACGGCTACTGCGTAAGTGCATGTGTGTATGTGAAAGTACAGATACGCATAAAGATCAGATAGTCATACATAACAACCATGCATGATGCATGCATGTGTGCAGTTTGTATATTTATCTAATTTATGTATCTATACATCGGTTTGCATATTGAAGTAGGTCTGTATGCATGTATGTATGTATGTGTGTATGTACGCATGTACGTACTTGTACCTATGTATGTACTTGTGTAAGTAGGTATGTTTGTAGGTAAGTAGGCAGGCACTCAGGGTTGGCAACTTGCTTGCAGGCAGCGGGGCAGCAGGAAAACATATTTTGGTAATGATTTCGCTGAGCAGACGCATAATGTACACCACGCCTCACAATTGCCTTTGTAATGCGGGCTTCGTTATTTAACCGCTGGGCAGTCGTGTTATTAGGTAAGTATCCATTTACACTTCCACATTCAAATCGACAACCGCAGTTCTGGCGCTTTCCGTTGAACCTCTTCAGAAAGCATTCCACATTAACAAACTTGGTTTCATCTATCTTTCTATTCTTTGCTTCATCCTGTAACTGGTAATTCTTAATTTTATTGGCTAGATATCGGTGCGGATTTTCTTCGTTTGGCTGGCCAGTATTAGTATCGCTTTCATAAAACAAAACATCATTTAAATCAGTGCTTCTCGTTAAAGCGCACCATATCCTTTCACGGCTTACCAAATATGACTTCTCCCACTCGTGTGAACGGTTATTTTACCTTTGACTGATGCCCCTTGTGCAGAATGGCAGGTGGTGCAGTAGTCATATCTAAAACGGTTATCCAAAGTGTAAATGTCGGTAGTGTATCTATCTTTTGATTTTATGTTTTCTAATGTAACTACATTCCCTGGCATATTAACGACTCCAACCCGATAGTTGACATCAAATTTTGTGCTTCCAACCTTCTTACACTTCCGACAGATTAATATCTTCCTACTTCGTGTTTATCAGATTTACCAAGATGGCTTCGAATATGGTTGGATACGTTTGTTACATCTTATGTTGGCATCTGCGTATGTTCTTTTCGGATGCCATTAGGTCGGCAGTCGTTTTGAAATATTTCCTTACAAATTCGGTTTTGGCGATGCCGTTTATCCACATGTCGTTATACATATCATCTAACGTTTCGCGGTTCTCATTCGCTTTTGGGTCGTCCTTCGCCCCTAACCTCTTACTATTCATGGGGGTTTGTTGTATTGGTTAAGTCTTCAATCGGGGGAGGTTGCTTAACATCTCCCGCTCCTATAAAAACTTTATCGGGATGGTTATTTACAAACTCTCGTATTCTATTTAAGGTGTAACAGCCGTTCATATAAATTTCGTCAAGCACTATACAATTATATTTGCTTTGATCAAGCTCTGGCAATGTCTCCCCGTCGCCAACTCGAATAGAAAAACCAAACTTTTTTGGTTGTACTGGCTTCACCGTCAATATTCTGAAATAAGCTGTTCTGGGGGACTACAAACAACGTTTTATATGCTAGCTTGCTAAAATACTTGGCTATGTGCGATTTTCCACCGCCTGCGTATTTACTTCTTATTATAAGTCGGCTATGTTGTGTTATTTGTTTTGCGATGCTTTCGGTGTCCCACTCGTCTTTAATTTTCGGGTGTTTCGTTGGCATATTCTGGTATAGTCGTTAAGGTATTTTCCTTCATTTTGTGCTGTTCTGTCGGCTGGATTATTGATTTGCCTTCTTCGTGTCTCCATCCTCCGATATTATTGCTTTCGTTGCCTTGCTTAATTGCTCGCGCCTAATTACAAAGGCATCGGTTTTAACACCCCATACGTCAACACCACTATCAGGTAAACTTGTATAATCCTCTTGCATTTTTTGGTTATGGATATGAAGAAGTAGTTCTTTTATGCAGGTATAACCGTTTCTTAATAATGCCACTCTAGCAGGTCACCGTTAAGCAGTAATATTTTCTGTCTAGTTCTTTGTCGTTTTCAAGGTCGTAAGCGGTGATTTGAATAATCTTAACTCCCACTTCTTGTTGATACTACAAAGCTTCTCTCAAACCGTCAAAGGCAACGCTGTTAGATGAGTTGTTCGTTCCTTTCTCTAACGATCCAAAATTTGCATGTGCTATAAGCTTCTTGATTTTGGCATTTACTGGAAAGTGGTCTGATATTTCGGTCTTGTTCTCTGGGTTTTACTAAACACAACGTCAGTTCGTGAAACTTGCCGTAATCGTGGGCCTTGTAATTAAACGGCTTCCATTTATCAAACTCGTTGAACACGGGGATTCGGCAATTTGGTTGAAGTATATGCTTTTCTTACATCTATTTCGGTTGTTGTTTCGGTCATAAGTGCGTCATTGTCGTATTTGTTGGTTCTTTGGTTGAATGCCTTCTACAATTTATTTTTAGTTGTCCAACTGGCGGGATTGTTCGGCACTCCTTAAGAATTTGTATATATATTTCGTGATAATAGGATTTAGGTAAGGGATTAAATAAAGTCTTGTTGAATTCATACATTGTTGTAGACATATTGTTATAAATCTGCTCCGTTCTTAAAGGCTCTTGCTTTTGACTCAAAATTTAGAATATAAGTCCGAAATGATACAACCACTGAGTTTAACTTGCAGTTCATACCCTGCCATCTTGCTTTGATAAAATAACTCGGTTAAGTTGTTGCCGTTATGAATAAATCTACTCGTCTTTTTCTCTGAATTTCTTAAGGTCGTTGAAAGACTGTATCATTTCACATTCAGTGGGTTCGCCTTTCTCGTTTATGTCATACTCTGGCGGGGCTTTCATGGTTACATGTTGATTTTTACGGATTGCCACCATCTGCCTTAACATTTGTAGGTTGCTGCTTGCTGCTTGTATTTGGTAGGCGAGTAATTGAAAATATTTATGAGTGAGTTAAATATCCTTACTTGACTGCCGTAGTGTTCAAGTACCGGCACCATATCTTGTATTGAAGCCCCGTTCATTTTAAAATCGCCTTCGGTCTTATTCATGAGTTTGAACATGCTTTCTTTTGTTAATCTGTTCTTCTCCATTCGCTTCTCGCCTATTAGTGTATCCTTATACCAATCGGTTATGGCGTTCAACTAACACTCGTTTTCTTTGTAATGAGTTACATTTATCGCTTCCTTCAAGGTTTCAAGCTCGGAGCCTAAAGGCGTTTGAATGTAGATGTTACGCATGCTGCAATTAGCGGTATTTGTTAGTTTTCATTTTTTGGATCAAAATTGACATCGCCATCAACCCGTTCTACACTGAGTAATTTACTACAATCAATGTATTCCTTATGAAAGTCTAACTCGTCATGTGCTTCTCGGTCGGTTTTTAGGCTTTCATGCAATTTTAAAAAATAGTTTTTCTGCACCCTTTTCGGTGCAAAATGTCATTTGCCTAACTAGGTCTTCTAAGTAAGTGCTTTGTCATAGTGCAAACATCCACCAGCTATGTACTTTGCAAGAGCTCATGTAGAATACCTTGGTTAATATAATATAAAATATACCCTATATACCCTGTATATACCTTGCCGAATGCCCTTTAGCCTGTCGAAATACTTCATAGACGTATTGTCTATATATACACACCCTATAGCATACCTTTTATACAGTACCTTATGGGATACCCTGTAGATACCCTATAGAATGCCCCGTTGAATACCTTGCTTTACTCCAATATACCATACATAAGCCTTATAGAAAACCTTCTGGAATACTTTATAGAATGCCTTGTAGGAAGCCCTCTACATGATACCCCTCGTATACCTTGTATATACCGTTGGGAATCCCCTTTAGAATATCCGAAAGAGAACCTATAGGCAAGGGTTTATGTAGGAGAAATTAGGAGGAGCCCAATATCTTGCAGCTTATTGAGCAGAAGTTTTTATGAAAGAAATGAGGAATCAAGGAGAATAACCTATAGAACACCTTACAAAATACCCTTTTTACAAACTGTGCAAAAGATTCTTACAAAAGACGGTAATGCTTTATAGAATACCCCCTATATGCCTTGTATATACCTTGTTGAATAGCAGCTATATATACCCTGTGAAATACCCCAAAATACCTTACCCAATATTTTACAGTTTATCTGGGAAAGATCGGGAGGAGGCCAAGATCTGAGAGTTTCCCAATTAAATGATAATTTACTGGGTAAGGGGTTCATATGAAACAAATGCGGAATCTAGGATCTGGGAATTCCTTGAACAAATCGAACCTTATCTAGTAAGGCATACATCTGGGGAACAAAGATGTGGAATACGTTATACAACTCCCCCAATATACCCTACCTATACCTTCTAAGAAACACCTTACCGCCTATAAATATATGATACTTGTATGCCTTATGTATGTCATATAGAATACCTATGGAGGACCTTATAGGATAGGGGTTTTAAACATGGAAACCAGTCGGAGCCCAAGATCTGAGAAACCCCCAATTGAATTGTAGCTTCTGGCTATGAAACTCCCAATGAACAAAAATCAGGAACCAAGAAGAATCGTTTTACAACCACCTGATAGAAAACCCCGTCTATTTACCTTAGAGAGTTTCATCTACCTATAGAATACCGTCGTAAATAAACGCTACAGATTGCCTTTTTTACAATGCGTTATGGAGTACCCTCTCTGTACTTTGTAGAAACCCCTATAGAATACCACCTGGGATACCCTGTAGTAGAATACCTTACAGAGGACCGCTTATGTAATATACCTTTTGTATACCTTAAAAGATAACTCATCATGGAATATCCTCTAGACTCTCTTTTAGGATCCTTTTTAGAAAACTTTGTAGAATACCCTACAGCACACCCTATAGACAACGATTTAAGTTAGGAAAATCTGGACGAGCCCACCGTTTAATAGCGTAGGTTCACAACCGAAAAATGCAAAAAAGCTAGGTTTTTGAATACCCCAGCACATGAATTGCAATAACTTCCAGCAGTTTCGGCTTTCCGAATACATCACGTGATATTTTTGTTGGCCGAAACTCTGCCGCAGATTTATCGATGCATCGAAACAAGATGCCAAGCAGCACGGCCATATGTCTTCGAGGATAAAGGCGATTATAACGATATTTACGGTGGTTTCTGTACCTATGACTAGTGTACACGTGTGTGTAAGTAAGCATGGGATGGTATGAAGCCTGCAAACGTAGATCTTGGGGGGGGGGGGGGCCATATATATATANNATATATATTATATACATATGTATGTAGTAAACAAATATACAACAATACCGGGAGACGTTTAGACTGGAGACATCTAGATATGTATGCACAGTTATACGCACATACATACATACACGCATGCATACATACATACATACATACATACATACACACACACACATGTACACATACACATATACATA